AGAAAACAACCTTAACATATATATATATATATATATATATATATATATATATATATATTTCATTTCAAATATTTAAAATTATAATAGTACACATTTATCTTTATCTTAAATACAAACAATAATTTCTCCAACATATTTAAATTTTATATTTACGCATATTACTTTTTACGTCACTTCTAAAACTACTAAATACTATTAACTTCTTTTATTTGTTCAACGATCATATTAATCTTTACTACAAGACTTATTTAACTAATATACCTCATCCAAAATAGCTAGCAAACAATTAATTTGTTTTTACTTTTTTTAATATTTACGTACTCAACACTAATCAATTTTAGTACAAAAGAATGAACAAATTGAAACTAGAAAAACCCATTAGAAATGAGGGAGAAGGAGAAAAAAAAATAGTCACTTGACCCTATTAGGGAAAGAGAATTTTGATGAGAAAAAGATAAGAGGTTTTGAAAAAAATAGAATATAAATTTGATATCAAGGTAAAAAGTTGATACAATATTGCAATATTGTTTCCATTTTATTGAATTTCATAAAAGTGAAGCTGATAATGACAATGAAAGACAAATACCACACCTTAAAAAGACTAGCAATGCGTGGAATATCATATACCATACCAATATTTTAATACAAAATATTGATATATGTATATTTTATTTCAAACATATTATTAATTTATCAAATATTTAAAATTATAATAGTACACACTTTTATTTTATGAAACTTAAGTTTCTTAAAACACCCTTAATGATAAGGAAAGACAATCAAAACCCTATGCCAGGGTCACCATCTCTTTGTTTAGTCAAGTCTTCTTAACAGGTACTCCACTTGCACCTCTTTATTAAGAGGTATAATATTGTTTTCAAAGAGTTCTACAATAAAACTTGACTTGATTTTATAAGTAGGATTGGCTACATTGTATGCTTCATCAATCTTCACCACTTGGCCAAATGTTTTGGCCTTCAGTTCTACTCTCTTCTTCACTATCGCCTCCTCAGTTTTATCTGTCAGCAACTCCAACAGTAGTTCCCTGTCCTGAAAGAGGTCCAAAATAATATAACATCAGAAAATTAAATAACTTGGACATATTCAGAATCACAATAGAAAATATGATTAATTAATTGTGCGAAAGTTTACTTTTGCTTTAATTGCAGCTTCATATTTAGAAGGGACTTCTTGGAACTTTGCCTCAGCAACAAATTTGCCGTAGTGAATTATCTTTGAGAGAGCCTGCAATGGTTATGAAGCATTAGAACAAATGATCTATATTTGTATCAAACTATGAAAAAAGAACTCATAAGGTTGTAAAATTTTAGTAGAATTATTTCATCACATAGTATTAGAATATCTCTCACCAAGTGATGTATAGTTTTTCTAATAAAATGTTGATTTCAGAACAAAATAATCTGTTTTAATATAGGACATGTTGGAAATGAATATAAAAATAACTCACGTATTCGAAATGTAACAATAAAAAAAATTTCATGTATTTTCACCTCATAAAACACCTTCTTATGGTATAGAATTTAAGTTTGTGAGCACTATGACTTGAAAGCGAGTATTGAATCTTAACAGTACCTGTAAGCAAAGAGAGTCACAAACAGCAATAGATCCAGAGTCATCATCATTTCTTTCTTGTACCAATTCTATGATACTCTCATCATCATTTCTTGCTTTTACCAATTGTGGGAGGATTTTCTCAAAATATGTATTCCAAATCTTTTTATTTATATTGATGGAATGAGCACAGGAATGCAGAACCTAGGAATAAATACACAGAAAAATGGAAAGTAGATTAGTCAAAATACAACTGGAACAAATTAAATAAATTTTGATCTTACATAGCATGAAAGAAGATAGAAATCCAAAACCTTGGAGTATTGCAGATCAGGAAGTATTGGATCGACTAAGAACTGAGGGAAGAAAGGGTTTTCTTCCTCACATTTGTATCTTCCCAACTGATTCCAAATGGAAGAAAAACAAAAACTGTTAAATCATGGCTCTTTTTCATTCAATATATTTTTACTGTTAGAATTGTAATAACCTGATTATGGAGCATTTCATCTTGGAAGACCAATTTCTTAACCATAGTAGATCCTTTTAAATCATCATTATTTTCATATTCAACGGAATCCTGAGAATATTTAGCTCTCTCCAGGAGATTGAATATTATGGTATCCTCCTGCCAAAACAAAGATCTTCTGATGTTGTCTAAATCTATGCTCTTATCTCCATCATCATTCCCATTTTTATCGGAATCTCTGTACAAAGTTGATCAATAATGTGCATGACACCTCAATAAATATTCATACAAAAAATAATAAAACAAAAATAGAAGTTCTGTTTTTCTAATTCCCTCCACTCTTTATAGTACTCGTTTTTATGTTAAATACAAACAATACAAGTGAATAACAAATGAATTTCTAAAATACCATCAAATCTCATTATTAAACAGTGTCATTTATATATTTATCCGAAAATACAAGTGAATAACAAATGACAATATATAAAAAATTATTTAAATGAGTAAATTAAAATTAGTTATCACATGTAAATAGAAAATAAAAGCCATAAAATATGAATTTACCATATACCCTTTTGAAAGTCACAAAATGCATGAAGAAAGTTAAAATCAATTTTACTAAAAAAAACATCAAGAAATTGAAATCAGAAGTACCCAGGTGAAGAAGAACACATAGTCACTCGAGATCTTGTAAGGGAACGAAAATTTTGATGAAGAAAGATAATAGGTTTCGGAGAAAGATAGCATATAGATTTGATATTAAGGTGAGGTTGGAATTGCAATATAGATTTGATATTAAGGTGAGGTTGCAATTGCAATATTGCTTCCATGGTGTTGAATTTAGTAAAAGTGCAGGTGATGATGAGAATGACTATAACTGAGAGATGCAACAATTTAACAAGACTAGCTGTGTGAAAATATATCATACTAAATACCATATTTATACACAAAATGTTGGTGGAACAACCTTCACATATGTATATTTTATTTCAAACATTAATTTCTCAAATATTTAAAAATTATAATCGTACCCACTTGTCTTTAACTTAAATACAAACAATAACTTCACCAACATTTAAAATTTATAAATACATCTATTACTCATTGCTTCTAGAAATATTAAATACTAAATTAACTTCTTTCATTTCTTTTTTAACGTATTAATCTTTACTACAAGACTTATTTAACTAATATCATTCATCAAAAATAGCTAACAAACAATTAAGTTTGTCTTTATTTTTTTATACTTACTTAACACTAAGAAATATTTATATAATTGCCAGATCAAAATGAGTGTTCTTCGTGTCTACATAAAATAAAACCTGTCAATACCATAATCTAGAAAATAAAACTTAATAATTAACCCACAACAATTCACTCAAACAATTATAATAGAAAAAAAAATCTAAATGAAGTATCATATAAATATTCCGATATTATTATTCATATATATGAACTAAGTGACCATTTACACAGAGATCACACTATTATTTACAGATAGACTAAGTGATTATTAGGAGAAAGATGATACCATTATTTAGATATGGACTCAAGATATGTTGCATCAAGAAGAGAATAACCCAGTTTAATATTGTTAAGTTATATCTCTAATCCATATTCTAAGAATTGTATATACAAGCTCAATTTCAATGCTCCAAGAGTCAACTTCTCAGTTGTCGCTTGTCTGTTTTTGTGGTGTGTGACATAATTAATATTATTATCTTTGTTGATAAAACAAAATATATGAAATAAACTTAATAGATGTCAATTCGTATAAACAAATTTTTCAAAGCAAATGACAATTACGTTGAAGCTATTTTCTCCAGTTGCCTAGTCAATAGCAAGAAATTTCTTATTTCTTTCAAGTAGTTTTACAATATGCTCATTAGCAAATAACATGCTATTAAAAAACCAACACCGGATGACCACCTAAACATACCACTAATAAAAAGAATTAATTAATATAAAAAAATTTACTTAGTTCCTTACCTTATTAACAATTTCAATCCAATAATTCACTTATAAATAATTAATATGTTTTGATCCGTGCAATGCACGTGATTATTTTTAAGACAAATTTATTTTGTTTTCTATAAAAACAATTGAAACTGGATTGTAATTTCCGGGCTAGAGACTAGCTCTCTAATATTTTATCTTTTTTTGTTAGCAAATTTAATATTAGCAGTTTTGTCCAACTGGTTAATGATTGTCAAACTGGTGTGGTTTAAAGTATTAATACAAATATAGACATAGAGGTCATTACGATGAGACAGTTAATACAGAAATAGAAACATTGAAACCATAATGGTCTCAATAGCTGTATGCAAAGTTGAAGTAGTATATACATATTTCTCTTAATTTGATTGATAGACTGACAACTTTGCTATTCAGAAGAACAAAAGAGTCTTTTACATGAAAATAAAAAAGTGTTACCCCGTGGAATCATATGTTGAAGAACTCCGTGCACCTTTTGCCCTTCATTTAATAAACTCGATCAAATGTCTGCATTGGTGATGATGATTAAATGATGTTGATTTAATTTCAACGACCAGCAATAATGCTACTTCAATAATAAACCCTACACCCCCTTCTTCAACACTTTTCTTGTGCTGTGTTTTTGTGTGTAAGTTTGGTGCGAGAGCGTCTGAATATGTGGTCATGGTGCTGTTGGGATTTTATGACTCAAACACCATTTTAGTTGAAGTAGTCAAAGTAGTTAAATAAAAATATATTTTTACTCTATTTTTTTGGAAAATTTTATGCATTATTTAATTAATTAATTTAGGAGATATTTTTTAAAGTTGGTTACAAATTATGTAGTATAAATATTTACTTTTTTTTATTTTTTTGTCTCTTATACTTTAAAACCACAAAAATTGGTATCAAGAGCAAAAAAGATCTTACAGGACCTGTGATATAACCCACAAACACCTACAACCACAAAATAGCCATCACACATAAGATGGAATCTCAAACATCCTTTACTACCGTTTCTGTACCTGTATTTGATGGACAAAACTATCAAATGTGGGCTGTCAAATTGGAAGCATATCTAGATGTTAACGATGTGTGGGAAGCGGTAGAAGAGGAATACGAAGTGTCTCTCTTGCCAGATAATCCTACGATTGCTCAAATGAAAAATCACAAAAAAAGGAGGCTTCGAAAGTCCAAAGCCAAATCAATTTTGTTCACAGTCGTATCTCCGATCATTTTCAACAGAATAATGACATTGAAAACGGCATATGAAATCTGGAAGTTTTTGAAGGAAGAGTATCAAGACAATGAGAAAATCAAAGGAATGCAAGCTTTGAATCTGGTTCGAGAACTTGAGATGCAAAGGATAAAAGATCCAGAGACAATCAAAGATTATGCGGACAAGCTTCTTGGCATTGCAAACAAAATACGTCTTCTTGGCACTGATATTCCTGAATCTCAAATTGTTCAAAAAATACTTATAACAATTCCAGAAAGATATGAAGCCACATTGACTTCCTTGGAGAACTCAAAAGATCTTTCTACTATTACCTTGGCAAAACTTTTGACTGCACTTCAGGCTCCAGAACAAAGAAGACTCATGAGAGAAGAAGGTCATATTGAAGGGGTTTTGGTAGGTAAATTTCTGAAAAACAAGGGTAAGTCTTTCAACCACAAAAATGATAGCAAATCCTCTCATGTTTTTCCATCATGTCCTTTTTGTAAGAAAAAAAAATCATCCAGAGACCAAGTGTTGGTGGAGGCCAGATGTGAAATGTCATAAATGTGGACAATTAGGGCATGTGGAGAAAATTTGTTAGTCATCAAAACCACAAGAGAATGTACAAGCTCTAATTGAAGGGGGTGAAGAAGAAGATCTTTTTGTTGTTTCTTGCTTTGCCACTGCAAGATCAACAAAAAGTTGGCTAATTGATAGTGGTTGCACAAACCACATGACTAACGATCAAGAATTATTCAAAGATCTTGATGCAACATACAACACAAATGTCAGAATTAGAAACGGAGAAAAAATAGCGATGAAGGGCAAAGGAACCATGTGATCAAAGGTTGCACAGGTTTGAAATTAATTACTGATGTTCTATATGTTCCTGAAATTGACCAAAACTTGTTGAGTGTTGGCCAACTTCTAGAGAAAGGCTATAAAGTTCTATTTGAAGATAAAACCTGCATGATTAAAGA